TGAAGGCTTTAATTTTGAGGGAATGCCAAATTTAACTCTTCTAGTGCGGCCTTTTTCGCTGACTTGTAACTTTCTATTTGTCGGGTCGCTGAAGTCGGCATCTACAACTGACATACCACATAGCTGCACAATTGACTTCCCGAACTTTGAGGGCCAGTATATCACAGAGTTAGTTACTGTGATTCCTTGCGACCTTGCTATGGCACGAAAAGTGCAAAAACGCATGATCGCACCGGCTCGCCTGGTGTTTTCCAGCCTGGGTATGCGTTCAGGTTCGCGTTTTAACAGAAACTCGTGCATATCAATTCTGTAGGACTTCACTGCGTCATAGTTATGCCCTTCGGAAATGCAGAAGGCTGTAATAGTCCGAACGGTCATCTGGTTCATCTCAGCTCAGCGATTTAGAGCGACACAAACCTGCGAATAAATAAGCGGATCACAAAAGCAAGCCCAGGGGAAAAAGTGAGAAAGCACTAACTGGGAAGGATACTTTGAAGTCAAAAACGAATCTCTTTTTATCTATCTCTCATAGATGCAGGAACTCAGTTACAACTCATGCAACATTATGCAAGGACCCTTAGTAACAACTCGTAGCAACCTATAATTCGCAGCAGCTTTTTCTTCCAAGAGCTTCATAAAATCAAGCTAGTGGTAGCGTTGACTTCCTAGTATGCACCAGTGCCACTTTGCCATCGAAGCGAATCGTAGAGAGATTGGTTGTCTCATCGGAAAGGTAAAACCTTCGGCCCACTACACGACAACAGTGCTATCCCACTGCGCCATGCCTGCTGAAAAATGTACGAAACATCAACGAATTGGCTTTTCTATAAAAATTGACTTGACTTTTAGCGTGAAAGTGAGCTACTTTTTGTTGCAACGGAGCTCTTCCATATTAGCTAACAGGAATTGTCTAGGAGTACTGTGTTTAGTCGAACAGATGCTTCACTGCAAAAAAGCAGAAGTGTAAAATGCATAAAATTCTGTCGGTATAATCTGCGTAAAGGGTTCCTTACCCGGCCCATGCAAAAAGCTTGTTTTATCAGCCGGAGCGAGCCTGATCATATACAGAGCTGCAGATAATCAATCTTGCTTCTACAGCATATTTTGCTTTTACATTAATCACCAGTTAGATTGACTGCAAATTGTTTGATAACTGCACAACTTCTGGTTTAGACTCAGACACTTTATTATGTGGATTTGGCAAGAGATACCATAGGGTACATGTCTTTGGATGGCTACAAAACAGTGCAGACAGCACAAAATCATGATGTTCAAGGCACAGAAGGCATCGCCGTCGACTGGATACACAGGTAATTTCCGTACCTATGTGCAATAGGCACATCCCCGTCATTTCAGACAATATTTTTTTTAAGGTTTATCTCAGTATTATCAATATTCGACCCAAACACCTTATTTCTGTATGTCCTAGTAACATCGTCAAGGTGGGATCATCACATCAGTTGTTTGACTGTTTTGATTGTGGATTGCTAAAACGTCTGTAAACCTTAACAGACCATCGGCCGTTGAAAATAGCGCGGTGAAAAGCAAGACTGAGATCGAAATCATAATCGTTTTAAATTTTTTTTGTTCTTTTTTCTCACGATTCTATTTTAATCCAGTAGCTTTCGAGAATCGTTTAGGAATCTATACACTTTACGTCAGCATCAGTTGCATGTGCAGCGCCTAAATGGTCAGTACCGAACATCGCTGTACAAGGGACTATTTCGACTGCCAAGAGCCCTAGTCGCTTATCCTCAGACGCGGTTTGTTTTTAAAGATTAAAGAATAAAAATAGTTTTCAGTAAGAAAAATGTGATAAGGCCATGCCAGCTAGCTGAAGTCCGCTCTTCTAGGGGGAGGATAGGCGTGCGAGGGGAAGGAGAACGAGAAAACTGAGAGATTTCAGAATTTGACTCATTCTGTTTCCTCTTTCTTATTTAAAGCCCAACTTCACTAGCTGTTT